GGAGACGACTTCACGTCCTCCCCATAGAATTCCTGACAAAGGGCACAGCAGAAACAAAGTGCTCAACACACCTGCCAACAGCCACAGCTCCAGGAACTCAGACCTGCGCTGCAATGGGGACAACTCCCACAGCATCAGGGACTCCCTCCTTACCAGCAGAGTTGCCTTGATGTTCTCCACCACCTGGCTCTGGATGGATGGGTCACAGAGGATGTAGTCTGGGGCAACGCAGATTTGCCCACAGTTCGTGTACTTCCCCCATGTTATTCGCCTGCAGGGGAAAGGGAGGTGGTTTCTCCACTGTCAGCCCCTTCCACATCCCACAGCCCAGCTGACAGCACCTGAGCTGGGGACACTGGACCAGAGACGGTCCCCTGCCCCACTGCTGAGGGGGTGCAATGGCCTGACCTGCAGGCGACAGCCAAGTCACAATCCTTGTCAATGTAGCAGGGGCTCTTCCCACCCAGCTCCAGGGTGACAGGTGTCAGGTGCTTGGCAGCTGCTGCCATCACAATTTTGCCCACTGCAGTGTTGCCAGTGTAGAGGATGTGATCAAACCTCTGGGTGAGCAGCTCTGTTGTCTCAGGAACTCCTCCAGTGACCACGGGGTAGAGCTCCTGCGGGGCAAACCAGAGCCTTACAGTTACTTTGATTTAAAGCACGCACATCAAGGCAGCAGCTCTGCACATGGCAGAATGCAGGATAATTTGTGAGATACTTCAGGATCTGGACAAAAGACAGTGATAACAGAGGCATGCTCTGCTCCTTCCCCTGAAATGAAGTCTCACCTCCCACTTTGTATCACACAGACTTAATGAAATGGAGGCTGAAGCTGGGGCTGAGTCAGGCTCCTGCACAGTAAGACGTAGGGCACAAAGGACTGTCGGGCTCTCCCACGGGCTGTCTCCTTCCTCTGCTCTTACCTCCCACCTAGGGAATGCACTAACTCTCTGGAGGAAACTGCCTGTGCTGTCAAAGCAACAGTATCTCAGTGACAGAGTGCAATGGACGTCAGAACAGTCAGGCAAGTGAAGGAGAAACAACACAAGTGTGGATCAGCAGGACATGAAAACCCTGGATGTACTGCCATGGTGCCCAGTTCTCAGGAAGAGCCAGGCACAGCCAGCATTCAACCAAACCTGTGCTTACCTAGGGGCATCCCCGGCACAGCTCCAAAAGAGCAGCTACAGCAGGGGGAAATATGCACACACCTCTGCACATGGTCACGAGTGCCAAAAAAACTACCAGGCTGCAGCAGTATTATGTAATGTGAGCATACCAGGTTACGCAAAACATGGGAAGAATATGTCAACACACCCTTGTACTCTTAAGAGTAATACAATCCTTCCTGTGCCTCCGGCTTAAGCTCCTCTAAAGAGAGCAGGCTACTGATTTGACTTGAACCTGCAGGAGCCCCTTGGAAGCAGGACAGACCAAGACAGTCATGTCAGGCACAGGGTCACACTCACCCGGTCCAGGTACTGGGGGAGGAGATCAGCCACCAGCTGAGCCGTGTTCTCGCTCACCTCTGACGGCTTCACCACCACAGCATTGCCTACAGGACAGACACAGCACGGCCCCTGAGCCCTCACCCTCCTCTCCCCCACCACCCACCCACAGCCCCACAAAGGACAGGCCCCACCTGCTGCGATGGCTCCGATCAGAGGATGCATGACCAGGACAAAGGGGTAGTTCCAGGCCCCGATGATCAGCACCACTCCCAGAGGCTCAAAGTTGACAAAGACCTCATCCCTCATTGTCAACAGGTTCTTCTTCAGATGCTGAGGGGCTGCCCAGGACGGCAGCTTCTCCATGGCCAGGGTCAGCTCCCCCAGCACACTCAGGATCTCAGTGTTGTACACAGTGGGCCCACTCTGCAACAAAGGGGGACTTGGGGAGGATATGGCAAAGGAACCCACCTCCCACACCCACCGTGGCAGTTTGAAGAGTCAGAGCAAAGTCATGGTTCATGGTGAGGGACAGATAGAAACCACCAGTCATGGCCAAGGCAGCCCTTGGCCTTCCTGCTTTCCTCAGGGCTGCCCACTGTCTTTGCACAGCAGAAGGGAGAGACCCCCTGCCCGCCCAGACCTTGTGCAGATCCGCATGGAGGGCTGCCAGGATCTCCTTCTCCTTCTCCTTCACCATCCGCTCCAGGGCCTTCAGCTGCTGTATCCTGAACTCCAGCGAGCGGCTCCGGCCAGAGTTGAAGGCAGCTCTCGCCTGCCTCACGACCTTCTCAATCCTCTCCATGGCTGCTCAGGGCTGCGGGGAGACACAGCAACACCCAGCTCACCACAGGGTCATTGAGGGTGCTCAGCCCTGGGAACATTTAATGTGGGGTCACCACCATGAGATGTCCCACCCAGAGCAAGGCTGGGAGATGTTCTCCTCCTTGGAGGGGAGCTCCTGCCCCCAAGTCGACTGCTCAGGGCCCACACTCTCCAAGCCCTGTTCTACTTGGCAGGGTCCAACACACAGCACCTCTCACAGCAATCTGGGGATGGCTGATGGATCCTGCTCTGTGGCTACTTTCTCCCAGATTGAGGATACCCTCAAACCCACCAGCCACTCCACCCTCCACTGACAGGGTGCTCCCCAAGGAACCAAAACACTGGGATGACCGTGGCCCGGGTAGGCAGCCAGTTGGAAGCAGAGTTTTGTGCCCGGAGCCCGTCTGCACTCGGCTTCCCCATAACTCCAAGGCCCTCCCACGTCTTTGCAAAACATGACAAAACAAAAGGTTTCATCCTGCTTCCCAGGAGCAGCACTTTTTAGTCAGGATCTGCCTGCATCCCTGCCCAGCCAAATAAGATATCAAGGTTCCCCGACAACAATTAAAATCTGCCCTTCCCAGCCTGCTGCCACAGCCGCCTCACACAGCCCCAGTCCTGTCCAAGAAAGCAAATGACTCGTTAAAAAACGAAGGAAAAGAGAAAGTTACCTTCAGAGAAGCTTCTCTCTCCACCAGTGTCCCGCAGAGAGTGCAAGCTGGCACAAGCCCTGCCCCTGCCATGGCTCGGAGCAATCCCTCCTCCCACGAGCGGGCAGCTGGCCCGGGCCCAGGGCTCTTGCTAGATACAAGATGCCCTTTACCCAGTTCTGTCCTCAGCTGTGAACACACAAGCCCTGGATCTTCCCGTCCAGCTGGGGCAGTGACTCAGGGATTGCGAGAGACCACGTGCCTTTGCCCACATTGGGCACACGAGGCCGGGGAAGCGCCTTCCACATGCCACAGCTGCTGTTGGGAGCCAACACATGCAGACATGGGATCTGAACAAACCCCAACCAGCAGGCCATGCCTGCAGATGGGAGGCGATCCAGGGATGGATTTGTGCAGGAGAAGCAGCCCAGCTCCTTCACAACCCCCCAGCCCCAGCTCACCCCACACCTTCCCTGGCTCCAGGCACCTCTTCAGTGCCTGCCAGAGCTCTGGGGGACCCTTCCCCATGAGCAGAGAGATCACATGTCCCCCTGAACCAGGGCAGAGACACCTCACAAAACATGTGTGACATTTGGCCAAGCCATGGCCAGAGCTGGGAGTGGCAGAGGATGAGCAGGATTCTTCAGGAGACTCCAGGGACTTACCACACTCAGTTTATTACTTAAATTCTCGGTGTTTATTTAGTACTTGCAAAATATATCATCAAAAAGGCTTAGCACATGGATTTTCACCAGCCACGAAGAAATCCTACTTATTACACAGTAAATATGACTTTCTACTCTATATTAATTGCATTTAGTAATAATTTTTTAATTTGCCTTATTTTGACATTAATATTTCCAAGGCTCTTTTACATTCAATTCCTTCAGCATCCTCCTCCCAAGCTCGAACAAGTCCCACATTATGCCCCATTGCAAGATTACAGCAGCCCCAGAAGCTCAAACACGAAGGAGCACACACTCTTTCAATAATTGTTTTCCCTTGGAGCAATCTGACCAGGAACAGCTTTGTACTGGCTTTGGCTGGGGTGGAGTTCACTTTCATCATAGTCATTAAGTTTCTTCATAGTAGGATGGTGCTGTTTTGGATTTGTGACATTGGCAATGATGGCATTTGTCTTCCCAAGTCACCATCAGGTGTGATGACGCCCTGCTTTCCCCAGGATGGCTGAACACCTGCCTGACAAGGGGAATTAATTAACAGATTCCTCAATTTGCTTTAATTTGCCTGCATTCCCAGCTTTCACTTCACCTACTAAACTATCTTTCTCTCAACCTACAAGTTTTCTCACTTTCACTCCTCTGATTGTCTTTCCCATCCCACTGGGAATAAGGGAGCAGCTGCACAGAGCTGAGCTAACCCACAAGGTATTTTGTCATTCCCACTTCTCCAAACAGGCCTGAAAGTTCTTTTGCACGAGTGTAAGATGCTCATCAGCACAATACAGGCAGTGCAGGTACCACTTTTGTAATTTTCTAACAGTTAATAATTGTTACAGCCATATGGTGAAACCCAGAGCCCCAAAAGGGCACCAGCCTGCATTCCCTGACCAGCTGTGGATGATTCCAATTTGCAGAGATCCATGAATATTTCACCTCAAATGTCATGGGGAACCTCACTGGGTTCATTCACAACCATCACTCTTGGTCAAATGCATCAGCCAGCATGGCCTGTCTCAGACTTGTCACCAAGAGAGAGGGTGTTCAGAGCACAACAGGAGACAGCCCATCCCAAAAACTGCAGGGAAAACACTGTCAACCCAAGGATTGCTGAAACTGAAGCTCCTGTTGTTCACTGAAGGAAGGTAAGTGGTTTGGTGTGCCCCTCAAGCAGCACTCTGCATGGCATGGGGTGGAGATAGGGACTGGAATTTCTTGTTCTGCAGTCCTCCTTCGGAGAGCTTGTCCCCTCTGGTCCCTCTGTTCCAGCATGGCTTTTTAGCCAACAGGAGTCTGAGCCTTCTTGTTGTTAGTGCCTCTCTAAGGCTACTCTGTGTGCTCGACAGCTCACTGAAATCACCCAGAACAAAAGAAAATAATGACTTCCCAGCTTAAGGAAACAGACACAAAGCAAGCACCCAGAGTACGGCTGGCACACGAGGCCTTCTCCTCTTCATCAGTAAACCACCTGCGAGAGCAAAACAACACCAAGGTCCTGTGAAGGATTTGTGAGACAAAACCAATTCCCTTTCTAGAACAGCCTGAAGCAAAGCCTCTTCACTCGGTGACTCCCCCAGGGCGCAGCTCGCCTGCCTCTTGCCCCTCAGCGTGCATTGCATGGTTATCTTGGATGAGCTCCATGCACTGCCAGAGAAAGCGTCATGCTCTGGCTCTTGAGGAGCTTTCTCCAAGCCCCACGTTCACCACTCTACAAAGCTCTCCCCGATCTCAAACTAGGTCTACACACAGGAGAAGAAAAAGGCTCCTACCTCACTGTGACAGCCACAGCAGTGCTCTGAAACCTGCTCCTCCTTACCACCCGCTGGGCCAGCCCAGCCTCTGCACAGCCAGCACAACCAAGAGGGCTTTTCTCTTCAGCACAGACTGGTGGTTCTGAGAAACCCAAATGATTTCGAGACACCGTGAGTTTCCCCCCTCATTCACCTAGACAGGGCCTGCCCCCCTGGCTGGTGCCTCAAAGCCTGAGCCAATTCTTTGGCTTTTGCACCTCCTCCTGGAATATGTGGGCAGGTTACTTTCCTGGCTTGTTGGGCTTCTGCACCTCTCCTCACAGCAGTAACAACACAGACTGAAGGACACAGTCCTGATCCACCCTGCCACCTCCTGTCCCCTTGGGCTGCTCCCTTAAGCTCACTAAACCCCACAGATGCACAGCTGAGCCTTGTGAGGAGCAGCCAGTGAAGGCACCGCAGTACCTGGTTTGTCAAGACACAGAGAACCAACAGTGATCATGCTTGGGAGATTTAGATCTTGCTCCTCCACCTCTGCCTCCTGCAGAGAGGGGAGGACATCCCACCCTTCCGCACTACCCAGCTGGAAACAAGGGAGGAAATGGAAATAATTGAGCTGAGGTCAGACAGGGGCTGAAACTGGACAAGGATGAAGAGCTTGTTGTAGACCCAGGCTTTGGGACACAGCTTCCTTTCCCAGGGTGCCATGGCACAAACTGCAGCTCTCAGGGCTGTGGAGCAGCTCAAACACTGCTGAAGGAAATCCTGGAGTTCAAACCATTCCTAGCCTGTCCAGAACTACCAACCTCTGCCTCTGGAGGGAGCATCCCACGGGTGTCACCTACCAGAGCAGTGCAACAAGTAGTACAGCAGCCCGGGAGATCTCTCTGGGGATATTCCTATTCTACAGACCACTGGTAAGAGTGAGAAGCAGATCTTGGTAATTTGAGGTGGGACAGATAAAAAAAGTCTCAAGAGAGAAAAGGAGACCAGACTCTAAGAAAGGGCTGCAGTTTGCAAAGACCGAACTTGCAGAAGATGAGGTGAATTGCACATGCACCCACTTACACCCAAAGAGACCCAAAACTCACCTTCATCATCACCGCTGCCACCACCCCCAGCAGGGCCAGGACAGCCAGTCCAATTCGGCCCCTATTAAACCGCTTCAGGAGGATGAACTTGGTCCAATCCACCTTCTTCTGGCTGACAGGTGGGTATCGCATTTTGTTGGTGCCCTCCATCTTCAGGTCCTTGATCAAGCAGGCGCGGCGGTGGGAGAAGGTCTCGAAGCTGTGCTTGCCATGGTAGGCGCCCATCCCACTGTGACCTGAGGGACACAAGCCAGGCAGGTCACCCCGCAGGCACAGCCTGGTCAAACCTTTGGCCACTTGAGGACAACTGACCCTTCCTCCCCGCAGCACTTCTCAGTCTCTAAGATGTCCACCTGTGCTCCACCCTGCTCCTTCCCCACCTCGTTTTCACTACGCACTCTCCAGTATTTTGTTGTGGTCCCTGTGCCTCTGAGCTGTCTCCAGCTCTTCCCTGGATTTAGCTCCCTCTCAAAGCACCGTGCCAGGGCTCTGGGATCCGACTGGTGCTGTGTGAGATGGTTTCCTGAGGAGCTTTGCAGGGTACACCTCTGTGTTCCCATTCCGGGTCAGCACGTGCTGTTCATGCTGGTTCACTGCCTGTAACCCCCAAAACCTTCTTCTGCAAAGCTTCCATGGACTGATCCATAACCTGTTCCAATTCTCCCCAAGCTAAAGTCCTACCCCTTCCACCTGCTAACCACTGCTAATCCCTCCGATTGCAGCTAATGTTTTTAATGTACCTTTCACATCAGTCTGCACTAAATGCTTTAATCTTTCCAAAAATACACCTAAAGGTTTTTCCCCTTTCTGTCCCCTGCCCTAATGCACTCCCAGAATTTGTTATTATTATCAAGATCTGATGCACAGAGACCCCTGGACTGCAACAGGCACAGGGGTACCATGGGTTGCTCCCTGGGTCACACAGTGTGGCAAGTCCCAATGCTTAAGAAGCTGTAGTAACTTACCAACACCACCAAAGGGCAAGGTTGAGAGGAAGAAATGCATAATGACATCATTTCCAGTCACACCCCCACTGGAGGTTTCTGAGATGACTCTTTTGATTAACTAGCAAAAGAAAACAAACAAATCATTACAAAAGCCCAGAAGAGATCAGGCCACATAACTGAGGATACTGGGAAGGGAGTCACAAGACAACAGGTCATCATGTTCATTTTCTCTGGCACAGCCCAGACCCACCTTCTTGTTGTTGGAGAAGACATACAAGGCAAGGGGCTTCTCCCGACGGTTGATGAACTCAATGGCTTCCTCTACGCTCTTCACGGTCACAATGGGCAGGACGGGTCCAAAGATTTCCTCCTCCATCACCTTGGAATCCGGGGAAACGTCCGTCAGGATGGTTGGTGCTGCAGCAAACGGGGGAACAGGACAACAGCGTGAGCAAGACAGAAGACCTGGTCCATCACAGGACCTCACTGCACTGTCTGTGTGCAACATAACCCAAGCAAGGCACACACACAGACCCCAAAGGGCACCCACTACCACCTCCCCTCCCCAGCAGCAGCCACAAGCACCTATGAAGCAGGAGGCCTCATCACTCTCTCCCCCGTGAGCGATCTTCTGCCCTTCCAGCAAGC